TTTGCCATCTTGCTGGTGTCCGTGCTCGCGGTGCCGTTGATTCACTTGTCGACCTACGCTGGGTGACGTGTGTTGCCTTGGTGCTTCAAAGTGCTTGTGTGGTGACATCTGCCTCCTGTGCCACTTCGTCATGAGTACGCCGGATCTGGACGTGGTGCCAATGCAAACTGAGCCCAGATCGCCCACTGAGATTGCCGACGGCTCTGATCTTGAAATCTTCGACGACAAAGAGGTCAAGACTGGGACTGAGCACCGAGGCCTCGAGAAGCGCAAGCGCGGGGCTCCCACTTCGTCTGAAAGTGCTCGTGCTGAAGCAGTGAGGACTGTGCATCGGGGTTCAAGTGCCGATCCATCTGGGCAAGAAGACGAAGACGATGCGGAGAGTCCAACAAAGCGTCCCCATGGAGACCCTGGTGCTGACCTCCCCATGACCGGGCGTGAACTTCGTGAACTACTACAAGGACACATGATGAGCATGCGGCAAGCTTGGACCGAGGTTGAGTCTCGGGTTGGGTCTGTTGAATCTAGGGTCAGCTCTGTTGAAGGTTGCCAAGCTCAGTTTAAGGGTGATGTGGAATCCGTCAAGGGGCGAACTAAAGTTTTGGAGCGGGACCTCTCCTCCATTCGGAAAGAGCACGAGGCTGGAAAGATCAAAGTTCAGGAGCTTACTGAGGAAGTCAAGAACCTCAAAGTGCAATGGGGTGAATTGCAGACGAAGGGCTCCTCCAGTGACCGTCCCGACCGGAAGAACGATCTGGCCAACGTCCCCCATGACCCCTGGGCAGATTACATTCGAAAGCAACAAGAGTGGCCTCCTCCCTTTGGTCCAGCACGCCGACGACTGAAGACACCTGGGGGCGACTTTCTCCCGCCCGGACCAGCTCGTGGACATGGACCTGCAACCTCTGCCGACGCCTTCAACACTGACCCCAATGACACGCTCACTGAGGACGAGAAGAAGACGTTGATCATTGGTGGATGGGTTGCAGACACGCGAAAAGCAGTCATCGAGGAAGAAAGTGAGGCGATCCTTCTTCACCCAACCATTAAGGACCTCATCGACACCCCCAAGCTGGCAGTCTATGGCCCCAGGAGAAGTGTTGGGATGCTTAAATTTAGTCAGCGAGCTGATGAACACTGCTTCGAGGATGTAAAGGCACTCATGTGGCTCGTGGTCAAGGCTGTGGCAGCGCTCAAGCTGAACCTGGACAGCACCAAGCAGGCTGGGGAAACCAAGGTCGCCTGGGCGGGGTTCGTCAAGACCAGGAACGCGAGATTGAGAACTTCACACATCAGCATGATCCGCCGCGTCACAGTCGGCCTGGTCGAGGACACCAAGGACGACAATGGATGTATTAAGCACCAAATGAACCAGATGTTCACGGCATA